TGATGAGTAATCACTATCCAAACTGGAAAACAAAGTGCACCAAAAAAGAGAAACCCACCAAACCCCACCTCTTCAGTTAAGAATACACATTTCAAATCCTTTTGGTTGCTGCATTCCCCGTCCAACCCTGTGCTTGGTGTTTGCTGCAGTATCCAGCGAGCATGGCGTGAGTACCTGCAGCGCCAGGACCTGCCACCCCACGAGCAGCTGGACAAGCGCAGTCCCTCCCCACCGTCCCTCTCCTCGGACAAGATGAGCAGGTCCATCAGCATGAACACCTTTTCTGACAGCAGCACACCGGTGAGTCCAGAGATTGTGTCCATTTTCCTCTTCATTGCTTTTGGTCGGGTTCCTTTCTAGGACTCTGGCTAAATGAAAGCTCAGAAAGCTAAGCATGGAAGAGGGACTTCTAGGGGAGTAGTGGTGTCTCAAATGACCCTGGAGGCAGATGTGCCTCTTGTAGGTACAGTGGAATGTGTGACTGTGCATGTTAGGCCTGGATTGTGTATTGAATGCAGCTGATATCAGCAGTGCCATGATGGGGAAAAGGTGTTTCCAAATGGTGTTGTGTGCTTCTGAAGAGAGCAGGGGCCTTCATGTGTGTTTAGCATGTTGTGTTTTCCAAAAAAAACCTATTGTGGTGCTCTTCCTACAAATAAATGTGCTTTGTAGGTGTTTTTGTGTTTGTCTTAGGGAAAAACAAAACAAAAGAGGCTTAGAGAAGTGGATCTAAAAATTAAACTTGATTTTGGGAATAAATATTCATGCCACTTTGCAGCCTGGGGGACTAGTGACTGGAGGCTGTACTTCTATTTTTAAGGTGACTCTAAATGCAAATAGAGAGCCCGTTTTATGAAAACAAGTGGGTTTGTGACTGTCTCTGGAGGTCAATAAATCAGCAGATAGATATAGAAGCTATAAATATTGCTTTCAGCTTTGTGACAGAATGCATCAGTTTTGTGACAAAATTTATCAATTTTGAGGAAACTGCAGAGTAGAGCACATGAAATAATTCAATAGGTCAAAGAAAATAGAAGGAGTTGCCCTGGTGTGTGTTGGAGCAGCTAAATAAAAGCAGGATGTGTCCCACTGCTCGACTGAGGTGTCAGGATAGGTGTGAACAGATTGTTTGGACCCTTGCTCTAGGAGTCCATGTTGAGCAGCTATAAGAAGCTCTGTTGCTGGCCACTGGACAGCATTTGGTGGCTTCAGAATTTGCTACAAAAATCCAGAAATCGTTGCTAGTGGGGTTCTTAAAGTAGATGGAGTCCCTGCCTGAGGAAAGATGTTTGTTAGTTTAACTCTGCAAAGTTGAAGCAAAGCACAAGGCAGGCTCCGAGATCCAGCAGAGCTTTTCTGGGCTAAGAACTCTGCTGCTGGACTTATGGGGACAATCTGACTCGTTCCTCCGTTGAACCAGACTCAAACTGAAGCTAGGTGAGCTGCTTCCAGCAGCTATTATTTTTGTGACACTGTGGTTAGGCCAGCTGCATTAGGTTTAACAGCATTTAATGAAATATTACTGAGAGTGCAGTGTTTTATTTTTAGATGCCTTGTGTTCATAGCCGGAGGCTGGGATGATAAACTAGGTGGCAATATTGGGTTATACACTAATGTCTCATGTATTAAATGAGTTAGGCTCATCTAATGAGATATATAAATTTGAATATAAATGTTATATCTGCTGCTGGCATTTGTTGGAGCCTGGCTGAGCCAGCTACCACAAGAGGTCCCTCATACCCTGCGCAGGGAGGCTCCGGGATGCTCTTGGATGTTCTCCATCAGCAACCTGATTTGGAAAAAAAAGTATTTTTCAATGCTTTTGGGGTAAAATGAATATGTCTGGGAGCTACATATTTGCAGGAAGATGAAACTTGGATACTAAATTTACTGTTTAATTGATAATAATGCAACACCCACTCATCTCACTTTTGCATCCTACTTGTTTAGTGCAAAGGAAGAGGGGAATATTTTCTTACCCTTATCTACTGCCAAACCTGTCAATAATCTTTGGAAAACCATGGAAAATTTCTGAAGGCAAAGGAACCTCTTTATTTAGTGTGAGCATGAGCCCTAGCTCTGGGAGGAGTTAGCAGTGATGGCCTGAGGCTTGACAGGAGCTGTGCATTCCTCACTCATTTGAAATCATTAAAACTTTGTGAATTCATCAGATATGACATTTCCTTGTTGTCCCAGTCAAGAAAAGAACTACAGAAACACAAAACAAGAACTTTAGAGTAACTTTAGGGAAGTGAGGAGAAGGGGATGTACTCCGAACGGTGCTTGGCAGCAGCAAGGAGGTTTCCTGGTCAGCTGCACCGTAACTGTCATGATTAGCAGTTTTTATATGACTTTTCAAAGCCATTTGGTTCCCACCAGATGGGGATAGCTGGGCAAATGGGCTTTGCCTCTGGCCAGTGTGAGTCACTGGCCATGTCATCAACCAGGGCATCACTTGTTCATGGACAGAGGGTGATGTGAGCTCCCCTTGACTTGCTGCAGATCATTTATGTCTTTTATGTATGTGGCTTCAAAAAGCTGTAGTTTAGAGTGCTGGCTGCAGCTAACACATTTCATTTCAGAGAAACAATCTAATTGTGGTGATTCTAACACTCTGAAGCTTGATAAATCATTAATTATGATACCTTTGAATCAAGTGTTTGAACTTGTTTTGGATCAGCTAGCTGCCTTTGCCGCTTCAGAAAACTGTTGCTCATAAAATTTAATACTGATGAAAAACTTGTCAAATAGAAAAGGAGCTACTAGATTAAAGAGAAAATGAAGCCCCACAATTGAAACAATTCCTTATTTTTGAAGCTACCTCTAGGTCTTGGTAATTTCCAGCAGCTTTCTTGTGTGAAATTTTGTCTTAATTTTATGGCAGAGAAACTGAGTCTTCTGGAATGTGGGACACTAAATCCTTGTGGGTATGAAAGAGAAAAGACTCTTCCTTCAGGCTTTGTTTATGAGCCTCTTGCCCTTGAAGCCTGAGCATCTTGTCTCCATAGCATTTCATTACAGTTGTGCATGTCCTTTTGTTAGCTGGCTCAAAGGTATCAGACATGAAACAAGGCCACAAATTAGTGTTTTTTGTTTACCGGAACCTTTTCCTTCCCCCTTCTGGTTTAAAGGTTGGTTAGAATGGCAGCTGAGGAAGGTAGATAGCTTATTTCAAACTTGTAATGTTTGATCATAAGTACCTCAAACAGCTCTGTGTAGCTGAAAATCAGTTGCTCTGTGACTAAAGTTTTAAAATAAACATTTACACATAACATAGTTTATGAAAACCAAAAAGACTAGGAAGCTTTTTCTGGGATGCAGTGACTGAAATAGCACAATGAATGATTACTGTTCTGGAAAATTACTTGCAGAGATATATATGCATCTCTTGGAAAAGTTTTCTGGTTTTAAGGCATACTTCTATGCTTAATAAAGTACACTCAATTTGATCTGAATATTGTCACTGAAAATATTCTTCTTTGAGATACACATTAAATCACCATGTATTTCTGTTAAAATGGCATGAATTCATCTGCCATGACTCTGAGACACAGCACAAGGCACAGAAGAAAACAGGACATAATGAAAAGCCATAAAAATTTCCTATCAGATATGCAGATGGAAGAAATAATGCAGTGCACTTAGCATAAGAAACTCACAACGAGAAAAAAAAAATATTAACCCCAAAGCATTAAATACATTGTAGAGTTAAGTTCAGAATTTCACTTTTCAGTGTTTTGAAGACAAACTTGAGAGGATAATGTTCTGTGAACGTCCACAATGAGATTGCATCTCATGTTTTAAACAGATAGATATTCTTTTAAAATGTTAGGCCAAATTACCTGCTCTGCTGTCTGTTATTATGTGGATATCACTCTGATAATAATGTCGCACCTGCAACAAGAACAAATGCTCTTTTTATTTGGCTTTCTTCTTTGTCATAAACTACACTGGCCAGTCCTAGAAGGACTCTCACAAAGGCTGCCTCTCTCCAGGTCTTGAGGCATGTAGGTATGCTCAGTGAAAGCACTCTTAGAATCATAGAATGATTTCAATTGGAAAAGATCTTTAAAATCATTGAGTCCAACTGTTAACCCAGCACTGCCAAATGCACTAATTCCCTGGGCTCCTGTCAGAGTGCTTACCACCCATCCAGTGGGTTAATCCCATAACTTTTCAGATAGATCAAATTATTAATTAATAGGTCATGCTTTCTGTTTAGAAATGGATAAATCATTCTTGGCAGTGGTGGTGGTGGTGGTGGAGTAATGAGGCTCTCTCAAAGTGTTTGTCCTATAGTACCAAATGTTTTCTTGGGCTTGCCTCCCAGCAGAAAACTGAGCTAATGAACAAAACAACATAGGATATGGCTTGAGAGAAGAGATGGGAAACAGGCTTTTCTTGTTCAGCTACTGCTTTGTAGGCTACCAAAGAAAGGATTTGCTAACTATGTGTGTGTATTACGGGCAGTTTCTTAACTGTTGGAAAATACCTGCTGTCAATAGCTTATCATTGTATTAGGAGACCTCAAGCAGTATCTGCACCATCCATCTTTGTTGCTTTGGTTTCCCCTTTGCATGTTTGTTTTTAATTAAAAAAAAAAAAAAAAAAAGCAAGTCAAATAATAAATTTGAAAACAGTGTTCTTCCTTATAAATATTTCTTTTTATTATGTAGAAAGGTGGCAAAACATGCCTTCCCTTGTGGTGTGTGACTGAGTTTCTGCTTTTTCCCAAAAAATAAACTGTATCTATAGTTACTAGGAGAAAAAGATGATGCCAGCTATGTCCCACTAGCATATGGTTGTGGTTATGACCTGTTTTCATGATGACATCATTGTGTCTCTTTAAATGGTTCAGTTGCTAAGACATAATCTGTGAAAGCCACAGAAAACCTGATAATCCTCACCAGAGAGGAAAAAGGTGGTGTGAGACATACCTGCATCCAGATCTCTTAGAGAATTGGGATCTTGCTTTTTTTTTTTTTTTTTTTTTTTACATTAATCTCAAACATTGGCGTGGAAACGCAATTAATTTGTTCTGCTCTGGGCAAAGCAGCTTCCACTGCGTGTGATTTGAAATGACGTGTCCAGGAGGACACGTTTCTACCAGTAGCCAGGTCCCACCCTGGTGTAGCTTCCGAGGAGAGCAGCTGGAGACCCCTCGCAGCCCCTCGGGGCCAGG